GAACCCAAGGCCTGGGGAAGTCCTAGGGCAGAGGAGTCATGGGCAGTTTCAGTTTCTGGAGACTTGCCTTTTCCTCTACTGGCTTTGGGTTTCCATCTTCCTTAGGAGAAAGTTCATGGTTTTGGTTTCAGGCTTTCCGTGTTCATCCTGTGGGTGAACTGAGGGACAAAGAACACCGTTCTCTTATTGGTTGGCAGGGAAGAGGAATCGGGGCCTGACTCAGACCAAGTCCCATCACCAACCACTCTGAGGGTGAAGTGGCAAGAGAAGGAGGAAGGGCTCCGGCGGGTCTGTGGTGAGGTAGGCTGGGCAGGGGTCTGAGAGAGAATGGCGTGGGGCCAGAATCCAGGACTTTGGGGGCAAGGGGATGTGGTCCAAGGGATCCGGCAAGTGAGGGACATTCTCCAAGTCCAGTGCCACAGTGCTCTCTAGCTTGGTTCTGGCAGCCCAGGAGGACGTGGTCTCCAACAGCAGCTAGAGGATGTGAGGTGAGAGCTCAGAGAGGAGGATGAGGTACACAAGGCCAGATGAGTCTGTTCCCCCTTCCAGACGGTCCCGCCTGCTCTGTTCACAGCCTGCCTCCCTAACCCTGGGGCCCAGCACCGGCTGATGCACAGTATACACTTGCAGACCAAATGAGGAAGGTGGCCCACCCCCACGGCAGGGTGTGCTACTTCCACCCGACACTGCTGCTCCCACCCCGTGGTGTCTCTTGGCTGCAATTTCACCACATTGTCCTGGTTTTCTTCTCTTTTCTGTAGCAGTTGCTTCTGAACTTCCTTCTCTGGTTCGTTTCCTCCTCCTCTTTAAATGTGGGTGTTCCTTGGAGCTTGGGTGGGTTCACGGACTCCTGTGGCCTCAAAGATGGTATGCTGACTCCCAGACCTGTCTCTGGCCCAGTCTTCTCCCCTGAGCTCCACACTCGTTGGTCAGCTGGGGTTCTTGGACATCACATCTAAAATCAGATTCCCCATCTCCCCATAGTATATGGCAAGCACCACATGGAGAGGGGACTCCTGCAGGTGCTGGGCTAAGCATTATTTCAGCTAATCCTCCACAACTCTATAGCAGGAAACTGAGGCTTAGAGAAGCGGAGCCAGGATCTGAACTCCTTCCCACATGAATCCATCTTCTGTGATCTCCATTCATTCTTTCAACAAAGATTTATTGACAATTGTCATTATCCAAGGCACATGATAAGGACAAGACCTGGCCCCATGGAGCTTCCAGTCCAATGGAGACTGATAGGCCATAAACACATGCCTAGTTACAGCATGCCACGTTACTTGCCCAACGAGTGTGGGAGTGGGGCTATGAACCCAGTGAAAGCCTCTCCCTCAGAGCCCCTATTGTAGTTACAACTTGACATTTGAGGCACTTCCTGGGCTGTGAGATCCCGAAGGCCTGGGATGCCCTTGCTTTGCTTCCACTTATCCCTGGGGTCTGTCCTCACAGTCCATGCTAATAAATATTTGTAGACTAAATGATGGATGAGGTAGACCCTCCACCCCCAACTGGTAGTCACTGGGCTGGAAACTGAGGGGGCACCTCTAGTCCCTCCCAGCCCTCCATCCTGAGCTAGCTAGCAGTCATCAGCTCATGGATCCTGCCTCCAAATCCATCAACTCTCTGTTGGCCTGGCCCAAGTTACCCTCATCATTCCTGGACAACCCCTCCCTTGGCACTCCCATCCATTCTCCATACAGCACTCACAGTGAGAAATATATATACACACACACCTATGTATGTATGTATATATGTGTACACACACACACACGTTTTTCTTTTTAAGTAGCCTCCATGCCCAACGTGGGGCTTGAACTCACGATCCGGAGATTTTGAGTCCCATGCTCTACCAACTGAGCCAGCCAGGTGCCCCCAGAGTGATATATTTTAATAACAAAAAGATCTCCCTTAAAAAAAGACAATACAGACACACATGCTTGTGAACATTTCAAGAGAACAGAAGCCCACCGAGTAAAGAAGTGAAACCCCCTTCACCATCTCTCCCATTGTCAGTTTGGTATACATCTTCCAGAGCCCTTTAGCCTTCCCAGTGGGGTTCTCCAGAATTTTCTGCCACTCTCCCTGTCTCTGAACTAATAGTCCCCTTGGTCTGGGACACTTCCACAAACCCCTTGCCCTTAGCACTTCCTCCCTGGCACTTCCTCAGAACACACCAGTCAGTTCCCATTGGATATGGCAGGGGAAGGGGAGTTTTCTTTAATTCTTAGTACTGTTTCACATATTGCAATAAGCATATATCATTGTTATTATTTTAGCTTTTTGGGGGAAATAATTATAGATCATAGGAAGTTGCAAAGATTGGTTACTTCTTCTGTAACTATAGCATACACGATCAGGAAAATGATATTGATATGAAATATACATATATTTCTTTGTCATGTTGTCCCATATGTAGATTTGTGTGACGAGCAATATACAGCACAATTTCATCACCACAAAGATCTCCCTCTTGCTACCCTTTTTGGCCACAACGCACCCCTCTCCCCCAACCATCCCTAACCCTGCACCCACTAATCTGTTTTCCATCTCTATTATTTGGCTTTTGAAAAACCTCCCCAAAATATTGAATCACAGACTATCAGTGAAAGTAAATGACAGGCAAGGAAGCAGAAGTGGAGGTCAGACTGCTCCGTGGTGAAAGGAATTACAAACGTTAGGAACTGGGCCGCTAGGAACTGGGCCGGCTAGGAAGGTAGGCACGGGCCGGCGCACGGGCAGAGGGAGATCTGTCAGTGCGGCTGAGTAGCGCTGGCCTCGCTCCTCAGTCTGTCCCTCACCAGGCCCACGTGAGGAACAGGTTAGCAGTCAGACCCCCGCCTTGGTTATTTCCTCATGTTCCTCTTGTCACACTGGTAGGAACCGCTTCACCTGAGGTCTGTCTCTTCTGCTGACCCTTCAGCGCTAAAAAGTGGGACTTGACCTTCCTCTCTGTGGCTTCCCCAGCTCTTGGTTGAAGGACTGCTGAATGAGGCAGGGGCACGGATGAGGTGACCCTCACCCCCATTCTAGGCCTGGGGGCAGCTCAGGTATTCAGTCTGGCCTCTACGCTCCCACAGCCCGTTCTCCTTCTTGCCCTGTGCCTCTGCTTAGGGCTCCTGGTTGCTCTCTGGAATCTATGCTCGGGTAGGCCAGCGTTAGAGAAGTGGGGAACAGAGCCCGCACCCCTTGAACCTCTCCTGTAGACCTGTCCTGTACTTGGAGCATCATGTTACGTGGTCTGCCACTTAGCTGTGTAACTTTGTCAAGACACTTAACCTCTCTGTGACAGTGTCCTCATCTGCGAAATCGGGAAAATGGCAGTACCGCCCTCATGCTCGCGTTATGGCGATTAAAAGAGTTAATATGTGTGTAGTGCTCAGAACAGGGCATGACACACACGTGCTATATAAACGTTTGCTATTATCTGAAATATTACTCCTTCCAGTAATTCTACATTACCTTATGAGGTAAGTGCTATCATTCCCACTTTACAGGTGAGGAAACAGCAAGTTCAGAGAGGTTAAATGACCGCCCCGGGGTCACAGAGAAAATAAGTGGCCCTGCCAGGGCTGAAACTCAGGTGTTAGGCTCCAGAGCCCAAGGCCCTTCCACTGTTCCACAAAACAGCAGTGCGTTCTGTGCGCGGCCCTTCACCTGTCAGAGCCTGCGCTTTCGGGGTGGGTGGAGCAGCCGACTCTGCTCCACGTCCAGCCGGAGAGGGGCTGGGAGCGCGCGGCGGGAGCCCTGCAGAGGCGCTGCCGCCCACCTTCCGCCCCCGACCGCCCCCAGATGGCCTACCAGGTGGTGGAGAAGAGCGCGGCCTTGGGCACCCTGGAGGCGACGCTGGAGGAGCGGCAAAGCAGGTGAGGCGCGGGCCGGTGCGAGGGTGGACCGCGCCCACCGCTGGGTGGCTCGGGGCCACCTCTGCCGGGGAAGGGGCGACGGGGTGCTCCTGCGTGTCCCCAGCACGGCCCGGGAGCTTTCCCCACGTAGTGGGAGACCTGGCTTAGCCACCTGCCTGACGGCGTGGAAGGGGCAAGTCTGTCCCCCTCTGAGACGGGCTCCCACCGCGCCGTGACGAAGGGTGCCCCCTCCCGCAGGCTGGCGGCTCTGGAGGCCCGCGCGGCGGAGCTGCAGGAGGCGCGGGCGCGGCAGGCCCGGCAAGTGGACGCACAGCGGGCGGTGAACGTGGCGCAGCGGGCGGCCTACGAGGCGATGCGCGCGCACGCCAGGCTCCGGGAGGCGGCCCTGCGCCGGCTGGAGGAGGAGGCGCGTGACCTGCTGGAGCGGCTCGTGCAGCGCAAGGCGCGCGCCGCCGCCGAGCGCAACCTGCGCCTCGAGCGCCACGAGAAGTGAGCGCGCTTGGCCCCGCCCGTCGGAGACGAGAGCGCCGCGGCCCTGTGGGGGAGGGCACGCTCCGCGTTTCACCTCCGCGGCCCGAGGCGCGTCGGCCCGGTGCGGCTCTCTGGATGCTTCTCTTCCGCCAGGGCCAAGCAGGCGCGGATGTCCTTGGAGCTGAAGAAGGCTGCCAAGCGGACAGTGAGCATCAGCGAGTAAGCGTGGGGACGCGCCGGGTCCGGCCCGCCGAGCCTCCGCAGCCCGCTCTGCCCCGCGTGCTCTAGGGCGCCCTTTTCTCTGGCCTCCGCCTGCAATTCTACCCCGCCCCCACCTGTCTGCACGAGGTCCCCACGTAGACTGAGCCCGCAGGACACGCGCAGACTCGCGTGCTCTGGTCGTAGGCGCCAGCACGGCTGCCCGCAAGATCCCTCTTCACCGTGTTGTGCCCTGGGGGCAGGGAGGCGCTGGTCCCTTGACCTCCCTGAGTTTCACGCCCTGTCCAGGAGCCCAAACCCCATAGGCGACGGGATAAGAGAGGAGGCTGAGACTCTGGCCCGGCCTGCTGAGCCCCTGTCCCTGAAGAGTGAGGCTGGTGAGAAGTGGAAGAGGCCGTTCAGGTGAGGACTGTCCCAGAGCTCTGAGCTGGGCCCCACGCTCCACTCCAGAGTCTTCCTCTAGGGCCTTGGGCCCAGCTCGGGCTCGGGGGAGAGGACAGGTCTGATCTCCAGTGCCTGGAGCCTCTTGGGGTCATTGCCGTCTTAGGGACTCCGGCGCCTTCCCAGGACCAGAGCTGTGGAGGTGCGGTGTCAGGCTGGTGAAAGGGTGTCACCAGGAGGGAACTGTGGGCGAGGCCCAGGACTCAGCTGTCACAGGGACACGAGAGCACATGTGTGTACAAGCTTGGGGGAGCGTATCCGAGCGCGTGAGAACACGTATAGATGTGAGCTCACACGGGCTTCTGAAGCCCATGCATTCCCTCAGTCTCCCCCGTTCATCTCCATTTGTCTGTCATTGCAGCTGCCCTCCCCCACCCTTGCTCCATTCACCAACTTGAAGGCTTCTCTTTCAGCCCTTCCTTGCAGGTCACTGGTGTCCGGGCCTGGGGGCAGTGAAAGAACTTTGGGGAGGGGCATGAGATGCTGCTGGTCCCCAAAGTCCTTGGCAGCCCCGGTGGGCCAAGTCAGCCCAGGATGCATCCTCTTCTGGGCATTTTTGAGGTCACTCAGCAGGCCTAGGTTTTACCTCCCTCCATCTGCCAGCCTTGTGCTATCCCAGCCTGAGGGCACCTTCACCCTCTCCCCCATATGCCCCAGCTCAGCCTCCTCAGAACTTTTGGTGGAGGGCACTTGGGTGGTGAGGCAGTTCTTACCATCATGGTGGAAACTTTGGGAGACTTTATTCCTAAATCCCTCCCTGCCTCCACCTTCCGGGGACTGCCGTGGGTCATCCCGCTCTCCTGCTCTTGGAGGAGCCAAGTTCTTGTCCCAGGCTCACAGGCCTGCAAGCCTCAGTGTCCCCAGCAGGGTGTAGGGATGAGTGGCTGCCATCTGCACACTCACTGGCCAGTCCCTTAGCACATCTCTCAATTCTACCCCAGATCTGCCTCTGCCACCTCCTTGACACTCTCCCGCTGTGTGGATGTGGTGAAGGAGCTTCTGGAGTAAGTGTGTGCGTGCACCTACATGTGTGTGAAGGGTTTGGGCCCCTTGGAGGCCCATGTCAGGCTTCTGGACTCCAGGCTTGGTCTGTGTATGTCTCGATCTGTCCGTCTGTGTGTTGCCCGGCTGTCTGTGTGAATCTCTGCTGCCTCTCCCAGACCTCATTTCCAGGCCCTGCCTGGTTGTCCTCCACGCTCTGTCCCTCATCCGTGGTCCTCACAGAGGACCAGGATCTCCAGCCTGAGCCTGGATAGGAACAACCACTCAGTTGGGAAATAGGCTCAGATGTCAGGACTTGTCCAGGGTCACAGAGCCAAGTGGCAGCGGGGCTCAGACGGAAACCCTAGCCCGGAGGTTGCTCTGCAGTCACCAACTCCTCCCTGCCTCTGTGCCCCTCCCGTCTTCACACTGACCCCCGGGGTCAGAGGCTGGGTTGGGAATAAGCTCGCTGCCCCTCTGGGCCATGTTCTGCCACCTTTCTTGTCTGCTTTCTGTTGTTGCCGCCTCAGGAGCATGAGACTCCCATGTCAGAAGGCCTTGCCAAATGCCTTCCTAACACCTGCCCCCCACCCAGTTTCAAGAAGAGGAGAGGCCACTCCATTGGCGGAGCTCCTGAGCCGCGATACCAGAGCATCCCTGTGTGTGTGGCTGCCCAACCTCCTACCCAGGTTCAGGATGTGCTGGTAAGGGAGGGGCTGGGCCACATGCATGAGGTGCCCATATGGGGAGTGTAGGCCCCAGGGGTGGTCCACGGAGGCCAGGGAAGCAAGGCTGGGCTCCTCAGCTAGAGCACAAGTGTTCTTTCCCATCCAGCGGTAGAAGCCTTTCAGCATTTAGTGATGGGGGATGGACTGGAGAGGGAGATCAGGAGGCCAGGCAAGGGACGGTGGGGAAGTGTAGCGGGAGGCTGCTGCAGGGCTGCTGAGACCCGATGTGTGCAGGCAGGGGTGCGTGTGAGAGCCTGTGTGTGCAGAGAGGTGCGTTTGGTGAGGGCCAGAGGCACCAACCTCCCTTTTCCCCGTAGGATGCCCACCTTTCCGAGGTCAATGCTGTTTGTTTTGGCGCCAGTAGCAGCCTCCTGGCCACCGGAGGGGCTGACCGCCTCATCCACCTCTGGAATGTTGTGGGAGGTGAGGGTTTCTCCTCTGTGGGCCATCCTGGGGCTTTCTCTCCAGAGCTTGCTCCTTAGTGAGCAAAGGTCTTGGATCTGTTTGTGTTTCCTCACATGTAACATTTTTGTGGGCAGTGGCCAGATGACCCCTTGGCAAGAGCTCTGGGCTGAGCCTCCTAGTTGCTGGGATCCAGGTCTGCAGGATGGGGAGGGCCCAGCTCAGATGGTCCCTGTTAGGGGAAGCGGGGGTCCCTTCTCATTAGATTCTGCAGGGATAGGCCCTTGAGAAGCAGGTCCCTGGGGCCCACCAGCTGACCTCCTCTTCTGGTATCACTTGAGCTCTCAGAACTCAGGAGATGAGTGTTAACTACCCTCTGCTTGTAGAGGTGGGTGTGTTGGGGAGTCACAGTCATTTCCTGGAGGCTTCCTAGAGAAACGTCTGGCCCTGGCTTGCTGTGTGACCCCGGGACAGTCCCTTCTCCCTGGTCCTCTGTAGCCCTGTGAGATCATCAGCTGCCCCCTGGAGCCCCCTGCTGGCAGTTTGGGGAGGTGCAGCCTCCAGCCCAGGCCCCCAGAAGTCTTCCCTCTAACGTGGGAGAGACTGATCTTCCCAGCAATTCCTCTTCATGAGGTTAGTGACTTCATTTCACCTGTCCTTTTCCTGGTCCCCCCAGATCGTCTGGAGGCCAACCAAACCCTTGAAGGAGCTGGTGGCAGCATCACAAGTGTGGACTTCGACCCTTCGGTGAGGGGACTTAGCCTCAGTGACATGGGACGTCTGTTGTGTGCCCCCGCCCCCAGTCTCCACACTGGGCAGGTGGGGGCCCTGGGACATAAGGGAACATCATGGATGTCCTAGAACCAGTCCCTCTGGCTGCTACACAAACCTTCCCTGGGCCTGGAGGCTACTCTGCCTGTCTGGATGATCTGGGAGGCTCAAGGCAGCCCCTGCCCCAGCTCCCTGGTGTGAGGGATGTTGCTTCTGTCCAGGCCCAGGTTCAGGGCCTTTCCCGTCCCCTTCCATCTCTCCAGGGCTCACAGGTATTAGCAGCTACTTACAATCAGGCCGCCCAGCTCTGGAAGGTGGGGGAGGTACAGTCCAAGGTAAGGCCTGACTGAGGAGGCAGCCCTGGGGTCAGGGGTCATGCCTTGGGCCCTGAGGGGGGATATTATGGAGTCTTGGCCATGTCCTTGATCAATATGTGGGATGCGGGGGGGGGTGGCGCAGGAGACACTGTCTGGACACACAGACAAGGTGACGGCTGCCAAATTCAAGCTAACAAGGCACCAGGCGGTGACTGGGAGCCGGGACCGGACGGTGAAGGAGTGGGACCTCGGCCGCGCCTACTGTGAGGCCCAGCCCCCTCCCTCCCCCTCCCTACCTGCTGGCACCCCCAAGCCAGGTCAAGAACACCTCAGCCTGTTCTCTGGGAATGGCTCTAAGATTCACAGTCATTTGGGGTGAAAGGTCCCAAGGCCTCTCCTTCTCTACTCCCCATCGGTGTTTTTTTCTGCTTGGTTTCTTGGTGACTTCAGGCTTTGGGCTGGGAAGCAGGGGACCTGGTTTCTAGTTTGGGGAGGATACTTACCCCTCTGGGGCTTCTGGACCTCAGCTTCTCCATATGTCCAGTGGGATGGCTTCCAACAACCTTTTTCTGAGGCTAGGGCTCTGCTCTTTGGTCCCCAGGCTCCAGGACCATCAATGTCCTTTCCTACTGTAATGATGTGGTGTGTGGGGACCATGTCATCATCAGTGGCCACAGTGACCAGAAGATCCGGTTCTGGGACAGCAGGTGACAGGCATGGGCTGTGGGCGGTGGAGGCATGGGGACAGGCTTCCTGTGTTCTCTTTCGTTTCTCTGGCCACAGAGCCATGGAGGCATCTCAGGGAAGTGAGGCTGCGGTGGCTTCTCTGTCTAGGTGTGGCCCCTTGAAGGCTCCACTGCCTCTGGGGACCTATGGCACCTTTTTAGTGGCTCTTGGTCCAGCTGCTGGACTCTGCCTGGGCCCTGCCAACCAAAATGGAGGAGCCCCCTTTTCTACTTAGTTACCACTTTTATTTATTTTTAAAAAATATTTCATTTATTTATTTGACAGAGAGAGAGACAGACACAGCGAGAGAGGAAACACAAGCAGGGGGAGCGGCAGGCAGGTAGAGGGAGAAGCAGGCCTCCCACGGAGCAGGGAGCCTGATGCGGGGCTCGATCCCAGGACCCCGGGATCATGACCTGAGCTGAAGGCAGACGCTTAACGACTGAGCCACCCAGGCGCCCTAGTTACCACTTTTAAATCAAAGGAAACAAAGTTTTCGTTGTTTTCCGGCCTGGAGCCCGGCGTAGGGGGGTGATTTATAAAAGCCGGTGCTGGAGCTGGAGCTGGAGCCGGCGCTGGGTCTCCTTCCAGGTGTGTGGTGAGTGCCGTTGGAGACCCTTTGCGCTCTCACACGTTTAATGGCAACTCTCGTTTCCTCTCCAATGGTTATTTTAGCGACCCAGGGGTTTCGAGGCCCCAGCTTCTAGTCAAAGGCTGGCTAAGTTCCTCTTGGAGGGGCTGGCCGCAGTGGGAGAAGGGAGACTAGTCAGCGTCAGCCCTGGCCCCGGTGATCTGAGACCCGGGGGCCCCTCTTGACTTTGTTCACCTGTCAGGAGTGGCCTTGGTGGGCTGTTCCTCATCCCTACCTCTGTCTCTGCTCCTCAGGGTCCCCTGCTGCACCCAGATCATCCCTGTGCAGGGCCGGGTCACCTCCCTGAACCTCAGCCAAGACCAGCTGCATCTGCTCAGCTGTTCCCGAGATGACACACTCAAGGTCATTGACCTTCGTGTCAGCAATATCCGCCAGGCATTCAGGTACCTGCTTTGTGCCCCTGGCACTGTGGCTTTGGCCGGGGCAGCTGGGTCTCTCATCCCTTGTTAAGGGCCCTTCTGGACCTGTCAGTGGGGGACCCATTCTGGAGGCCCTTCTGGACCAGGACCTGCTGAGGTGCCCCAAGCTCCTGATGGAGAGACGAAGCTCTTGAAGCTCCTGGCTGAGGGCAGGGACCGGCAGCCATGTTCATTCTGACCCTGGTTGTGTCTGCCCTCAGGGCTGATGGCTTCAGGTGTGGTTCTGACTGGACCAAAGCCGTGTTCAGGTGTGTGTGCGAGAGCATGTGCCTGTGCCTGAGCGTGCCCCCCCCCCCGACCGTGTATGTCCGTGTCTGCACGCGTGCGCCCTCACCTCTGATCATTTCTTGCTTGCCCTGCTGTGCCCACTGCAGCCCGGACAGAAGCTATGCCCTGGCAGGTTCCTGGGACGGAGCCCTTTACATCTGGGATGTAGACACCGGCAAGCTGGAGGGTAGTCTGCGGGGACCCCACTGGTGAGCATGGCCCCCACCCCCGGCCCCAGTGCTGCTAAGCCAGTTCCAGGTTCTGACATGCGTGGGACCCTGGAGTCCCCAGCCCTTGTCCCCACATCCCCCCCTCCCCCTCAGAGCCCTTCTTAGTTCACAAGGTGCTTTCCCTTGTGTGCAGCTCTGTGAGCCCATTTTACAGGCTTAGAGAGAGCCTCAGGCTGCCCTGTTCCAGTAACGAGGGGCAGAACCCAGGCTGCAGGCCCAACTTCTGATGCCTCCTCCCTGAAGCCTGTCCCTCCCTGTCCTCAGCACTGCCGTCAACGCCGTGGCCTGGTGCTCCTCGGGGAGCCATGTGGTGAGCGCAGACCAGGCCAGGAAGGTTGTGCTCTGGCACTAGCCGTGACTTCTCCTGCCAGGGCTGGAGCTCGAGTCTGAAGCCCAAGGCCAGAAGACAGCTTCCCACCGCTCACGGGGCTCGGGAACAAGTGGGGATGGGGGTGGGATGGGAGGGGGGTGGCCTTGGGGCCTTTAATGGGGAATAGGGCCCGGCAGGACCTGGCCTGTCTGTTGAAAAAAAAAAGTGTGTGTGTCGGGGGGGAATTACAGTATTTTTTGCTTGTTTTATCTCTGACTTCTCACTTTCTTCGACGTAAGTGAAAAAAAATTGTATCTAAACTGGTATCTGCTTGCCTCTCTGCAGCGTTCGGGTGGCAGAGGCCTTTGGGCTGGTGGCTCGATGACGCCTGGGCTTGGCCCCTTTCCTCCTCCTGCCCAGAGCTGGGGCCGGGCCGGGCTGGCCTCGGTGCTGTTCCCATCCGAGGAGACAGCATGAAGAAAGGCTCACAGGCAGCCAAGGGCAGTGGCTCTTGGAGCCGTGGGAATCTCACCCTTGGTCCACGCTGGTCCAGAGGCCAAGCCAACACCTTGGACCCTCCTACTTCAGGCGCCCAGGGTAGACTGAGGCTGTGGAGGGGCCATGGGAGTTCCAAGAGGGGCTCTGGTGGAAAGGGTCCTAACACACCAGAGAGTGATGTCAAGTACTTAGTACACCAGGCCTGCCTTTAGATGGGGGCATGTTCTTGCTCCAGAGGGGGAGCCCGGAACGTATGGGGAACGGCCTGGGTAGGTCTTCATGTTGGGGGGGCGGCCGCAGGCTGGGCCTGGGCTGGGGCTTCACTTACAGGGGCACCACGAGCCTCTGGAGTACAAGGCAGACCCAGCAGGGCAGAGCCTGGGCACCCCACTTGTTCTGTCAACCTCGTGCATGGAGGAGTCGCCAGCAGGACAGCCATTGCCAGTCACAAGACAGCAGAAGGGACTTCTGTCCCTGAGGGGACCTTACTGTGGCATGCTGCTCATCTGAGATTCAAAGGCTTCGCTTTGGAATTCTCAGTTTCCTTCCTTATCACCTTCCAAAGTCTCCCTTGGGGGTTGTTGCCATTTCCAGGGTTAGGAAGCCGTTCCCAGGATGAGCAGCAGGTTGCTGAGCGCCTGAACTTTGCAGCCGGGCTGTCTGTGTTGGAGTCGCAGCCCGCTCTTTAGTAGGGTGATTTTAAACAGGTTCCTTAACGGCTTTGTGCCTTAGTTTCCTCCTCTGCGAAAGGGGAAAATAATAGTACTCACCTCAGAGGGCGCCTGGGTGGCACAGTCCATTAGGCGTCCGACTCTTGGTTTCCGCTGGGGTCGTGATCTTGGGGTTCAAGATGGAGCCCCGTCTTGGGCTCCACGCTCAGCAGAGTCTGCTTGAGATTCATTCTCCCTCTCTCTTTGCCCCTCCCCCACTTCCCATTCATGCCTTCTCCCTCTCCCTCTCTCTCAAAAAAAAACACCAAAAACCGTCCTCACCTCAGAATTTACCATATAGACTCAGTGTGTTAGTATCTGTGAAGCTCCTGGCACATGCCGAAGAGCGCGTGGTGATGAAATACCTAGTCTACACTCTGCTGGCTCTCAGCTCACTCACTGCTCTTGGCCCAGCCGTCCCGAGCTCCAGGTGACATACCTAGCTGCCTCCTGGACAGCAGCTCCCCGACATAAGCGTCTCCCCCTCACGCCCCACATCCTCAGGCACCAGGGGTGGAGCCACCGTGTCTGACTTTAACCTAGCTGCCACGCAGGCCCCCTTCTAGTCTTGCTGTGTCTCCACCTGGACCCCTCTTGCCGTGGCCAGAGTGACTTTCTAAGGTATCGTGGTCACAGATACGACCCTTTGAAGTTCCCAGGCTGCCCGCAAAGAAGCTTTTTGGCATTAAATCCAAAGCCCTTAGGAATGAGCCCGCTGACCTCAGCTGCGTTTTCATTTCCTTATTACTCTGAATGTGTTTCGCACATTGATTTTCTCTCTGCCCCAAATGTTCTTCCCTCCCAGCCCCCAATTCAAATTTGTCCTTCGTGATCTTCTCCCTGAGAGCCTTTCCTCACTTACCGGGCTGGCTAGGGGCCTCCTCTCTCCTTGTGTTCCTCTTTGTGTCTCCTTCTCTCCATTTTCAGTCAGGGAGCTCTTGGAAGAGGCCAGGATGGGAATAGAGTAATTCCTGCGATTAGGCCTGGCCCAGAGAGAGCCTTGGGAAATGTCTGTTAAATGGCCAACTCAGCAAGTCTAACAGCTGAACATGCTAGAGGTCCAGAATTTTCCAGCCTGATCCCCGGAGGCCCAGCCCTCTCGTCCTGGCACCCAGTGGCCACCAGGAGTCACCAGCGGCTTAGTGTCTGCTGAGCCATTCTCCAGTCTCCTGGGATTCCGGCAGGAAAGACCAGTGCTTATGTGTCAGGCACAGTGCTCTGCACTTTTCTTTCCTTTTTTTTTTTTTTTTTTTAAAGATTTTATTTGAGAGAGCACAAGAGGGAAGAGGGTCAGAGGAAGAAGCAGAGTCCCTGCTGAGCAGGGAGCCTGATGCGGGACTGGAGCCCGATGGGGGACTCGATCCCGACACCCCGGGATCATGACCTGAGCCGAAGGCAGACGCTTAACCGACTGAGCCACCCAGGCGCCCCTGCTCTGCACTTTCCATGCAGTACTTTATTTGCTCCTCTCAACCTCCGTGTGAGGGAGTTTCTCTCCTTCACAGGTGATAAAATCAGCAGATTAAGTGTTGTGAGATCACAGAGCTGGCTTGTGACTGTGGTTTTTTTTTTTTTTTTAAACAACAAAATAACATTTTGAGGATCTGGGCTCCCAATTATGCAGGGCTGCAGGGCATCCCCCTACCCTCTGTCCCCAAGTGGTATGTGCCCTGCCTCCACCATTGCTGGGGGATTCTAGCTTTGTGTCCAACCTAAACCCCTCCCTGCATCCTTTCTTTTTTCCATTCTGGGCTCTGGCCGTCGAGGCCTGATTATGGAGGGTCAGTGTCCCTTGAAGTGTGGGACACGCAGGGCCATAGGAATGAGGTGAACTTGAATCCTGGGAGGCTGTTACCGGCTGCCCCACTTGGGGCAGGTACTTCCCAGGACTGCAGCGAAGGCTGCTTAGATAATCTAGAAAAGGCGTTCAGAAATGATAGACTCGACTCCAGGGACAATAACCCCCCTGCTCCCCGTAAACCCTCCCTCCTTCGCGGGGCCAATCTGATAGCACACCCTTGGCGCGCAGCTGCTTCGCCTCAGGGAGCGCATTCGCACCTCAGCTTACTGGGAAGGAACGCTTCCTGGAGGAGCACGGCTGGAAGGGCCAGTGACAGGCCAAGGCATTTGGGGAAGGGGTGGGTGTGGGGGAAGAGGGGCTGGCTGGCAAAGACTCAGCAGGGGAAGAGCTCAGAGGGGAGCCAGCTGGGAAGGCTGCCCCTCCATCTAGTCTTTGAAAAAGTTCCCTGGTGGTAGAGAGGGTGAGGATAGGGCCCCGGGGCTAAAAACCTCTCTAGGCCTTCAGTATCCTCTGCCTTTCAGGTCTGCATACCTTCCAGGTTTTCAGTTCTCAGGTACTCAGACCGTGCCTGAGTTGGGGTCTCTAACGTCGAAACTGGAATGGCGTTTCCCTTGCTATGTACACGGGCTGAGGCCCAGAGAGGGGCCAGGGTCTTGTGCAGGGTTACAAGGCAGAGCTGGGATAAGAACCCAGGCCTCCCACTTTTCTGAAAACTGCCCTCAGGTTCTGCAGAGAGGGGCTGGCCTGGTCTGGGACACCCAGTTCTAGGTCCTGCTCCCAGTGGTCTTGGGGGCCGGAGGAGGTTTCCTCACCTCTGAGACTTCCAGGCCCACAGCTCTGGGCCGCACCAAAGGTGACACAGCTCTTCGCTGGGGCTGTTCTGCGGGCATGGGTACGGCCTCCTCTGTGTGCCCTGCCCAGTGAGGCCCTAGTGAGCCTGAGACTTGCCAGGGAGAAATGACAGAAGCCGTTGTCCTGAACTCCTGCTGCCCCCTGGTCATCTCCCTGGAAGACGCACCTTAGCTGGAGCCTGCTGTTCCTGACTGAGTCTCCCCCACCAGGTGTGAGCCCCTTGGTGACAGGGATGAGATCTGAGTCATTTATGTCTCCAGTGCCCAGAATAAGACCTGGGGTAGTTTGAATTCAATATTCAACAGCAATTGAATAGAGGTGGTCCTGACCACTAGGAAGTCCTCTGGAAGAATCCTGGTGGCACCAGGTGAGGACCCATCTGTGCAGAGTCAGCATACCATGTCCTGGGTACAGGCTGTATTCTTTCTCTGAACATGTATCTACTGGTCAAAAATATTTTCATCCTTCTGCACATTATCTCAGTTGATCCTCTTGGATTTTAGGACGTTTGTATTGCCTTCTCATTCCCACTTCACAGATGAGGAAAGCAAGGCCCAGAAAGGTGAAGGGGTGAGCAGGCCACAGCTCATCAAGGTGGCCAGGGGCGTGAATACAGGACTTCTGACCAGGCTCTTCCCCTACCCCTCACAGGAGCAAGGGGTGACGAGAACGAGAAGGCCGCTTAGGTGTTTAGCACACAGTGTGGAAGGGTGTGAACCCTATTTGTGGGTTCATTTCTGTTGTTTTAGGAGAACACGCCGGGAAAATATTCCCAGACCAGAGCTCTCAGAAACAGGGCAGAAGTACGCCATTTGTTTTTCTGGCCGGTGGGACCAGGGGAAAATGGTCCAGGAACAAGACGCTCTTTGGCATTCACAGGGTTCTTGGCAGATCAACAGTGACAGAACAAACAGAGTCTAGGAGGAAACATACTGGTTGCGTTGAGTTGTAGGATTTCAGGACAAATTACAGTTCTCTCTTCTAAACTACAATTTCTGTAACTTGGTTGTGTTTTTGTCATGAAAAACCTCTTTGTAATGAACAAAATAAATGCAAAGATTCAGAGCAGCTAGATTTTGTTGTACAGCCACTCAGGCGGTAACTGGCTCCATGACCTAAAGCTGTGGCTGGACTCGGGCAATGAGTGAACAGAACAGCCCGGGATGGGATCACAATCCAGAGGAGGGTTTGCTTTCTCCCGGGGTGGGGGTGGGGGGGTGGCAGAGGCGGGAGCGTCCAATGGCTTCAATTTTCAATTTCTGGCCATCCCGAGAAATCTGTGTGTTAGTCT